CAGTTGAGAGCATGGAATTTATTCTATAGCCTCTGTGTAAAAGCCTCATGTGCTTAAAGCCAGATAACTCTATAAAACAATATCATATTTATTTAAAATTAAGATTAAAGCTAAACACTGGCTATGGCTCTGACAATCGAATATTGCTATCTAATTTTAAACAGACAGCTTTGGGAGTTGTAACAAAACAAGCTTCAGCATTGTCATATAAAATTGCTTATCTGGAGGGTCTAAATAATTGAAGACCTAGTGTGAAAGCTGAAAAGATCCCGCTTTTTACCAAGTAACTACAGCAGATTTTCTTTTTCCAATACCTTATGAGATTTATGAAATCGCCAGAATGGGTTACTCTCTCATTTAAAGTCATTTTACGAACTCTTTTCCAAGCTATTACAAACCACATTTAGAGCTTGCAACACAGCTTACCACTGTGCTATGATGCTGTAAGCACTGCTAATTCACCAGCCTTGAAAGAAAAACAGGTGAAAAGGCCTTTTATCATCTCCCAGCATTTTTCCTAATATCAACCTGAAAAGGGCTGCTTTTCAATTAAACAAATACATCTTTTTAATATTTTCACACAAATATTTAAAAAAAAAAATCATCTTCAGTGTGAAAACAATGCTTAGAAAAAGAAAAATTGTGTATACACCCCATAATTACACACAAGAATCAAATCTTAGTCATGAAACCTTTATGATAGGTGGGGAGTAATGCTTCCTTATAAACCTCCCTAGGATGAACACTATGCAGGCACAAACACGGACTTTATTGGAGATGCATGGCTCCATCTTGCTTCCTTTGAAGTTAATTGAAGTTCTGCTATTCTTTTTAATAGTAGCACAGTCTGTGCCTCATTTAAGACTCTTGTCCTACATACACTTACGTGGCACTCTACACATAAGTGCAAATACTAAAAAAAAAAAAAAAAACAAAACAAACCCCACACCACAGAACTAAATTCACATCTAGCATAAATCAGTCTATCTTCATTACAGTGGAATTATTGACCAGAGAATCCAGGACATGTGTTTTATTTTTACTTAACATTTAAACAGACTAAAGAGAAAAAAAAAAAAACCTGATTGACTTTCCATCTTTTATACACTTCTCTTTTTGCTTGGAGACAAAAGTTACAATTACTGAAGTGTAATTAGTCTCTTTCAATCTCCAGTTTTCTGATTGTAACTGTTTTCAACAAAGCCAAAAAAAAATTCACTTCATAAGAATATAATAAATTAATTTCCAAAGTTTATCAAGGTCTTTGTTATTTCAAGGAAAGTGAGTTCTTGGACCCAAACAACTTGCTTACCTACCTTTGGATTGGTAGTCTCATTTGCATAGGAAGTATCAGGGACTGGCAAGGGCTGGCTGCTCCCTATGGGGCGGGGAGCTGAGGACGATGACATAGCCCTACCATACCTGAGCAAGGTGAGCAGAGCAGGCCCAGGTAGCAGCCAGGTTCAACCAAGAGTCCAGACCAACAAGCAGCTCTATAGTGTATGGTCAAGCCAGGAACGTGAGCCAGGATCAGGCCCAACAATAGAAACCAGAGTCAGACACAGCCCAGTAATTGCTAGGCATGTCCACAGTGGCCAGGCAGATCCAAAGTCAGGCCAGGAAGCGAGTCTGCAGTTTGGGATCAGAGACCCCCACAGCCAGGCACAGGGACAGGGACAGCCATGGCTGAACTGGGAACCCACACTCCTACAACACAATTCAGGAAAGGACTGAAACCCCCCAGGCTGAGCTGAAATGGTGCTCCTGGGCCCACGGGAGGGTGTGAGAGAAGACCCCAGGTGGGGCTAGTTAGGGCTGTTAAAGTCTATTAGTGCCCTCAGGTCCTGACAGAAAGGATGTGTTTTAATTTTTTAAGCAGCAGCTGAAGCAGATAATAGTTTTCCTGAGGGGAAAAAAAGAAGCAGTAGAAGAATTCAAAAGAAATGTCTTACTTTACAAAGCCTTATAACTTACACTGAGATGTTTTTTGTCAATGAGCAATACAGGTAGCTAGTTTTTATGGCCTGGGGGTTACGCAAGAGAACTATGTTGTTCTAGGAATCGTAACCAAGGCCAATCTGAGAGGATTGTCAAAATGAAAATAGAAGTGATTTCTATGCAGGATTTTTAAAAGCTAGAAATGTTGGACTTGATCCTGAGAAATGCTGACCATTTCCTGGGAGGTTGTAAGCCTTCAACTTCCATCACCACTCTCCCTGTACTAACATCTCCATCTTGGGCTTCTTGAAGTTTCCAGGAATCTCTGAATCATACAGAAACTGAACTGGTGCATAAGGCTTTCTACTAATATTTTTGTAAATGCCTTAATGCTTGGATTTAATTAATTTACACAGAGTTACAGGAGTGTCTTAAGACACTGGGACATTGCTGTGTCCTCCTATGGATATGTAGGTGTGTAAGGGTATCTAGGTTTTCTGGCCCGTGAGTCGAAAGCAGCTGTTTTGTCCTGATGATTTTAGAAGCTGATGTGCATTAACCAAAACTGCCATAAAGACTAACTAGGCTCATGGACACTTTTAGCACAATTTTTAGGCTTATGTTAACCAAATCTGCATCATGGATTGTAAAGAAGTTTATTATATAATCATGTGTATGACAAATACAGCAGATTAAAAGTTTGTTATTAAACATATAGAGGGAAAAGTTCAATTTCTAGCTACGCTTTATTGAAAAAACCAAGTTTGTCCACCTCTTGTTATGAAGCATTGCTAAAAAATGTTTTATTTTGGTTTCCAAATGGAAAAAGTTGTACTTGGCTAATGGATACCCATTTAAAACTGCAGCATTGCTGTCTATAAACTGTGCACATACAAATATCATCATGTTATTTGGTGAAAGTTCTTACTTACCCATTCCTCTGTCTCTGAAAATATTAGCTTGGGAATCTGACATAGACAGAAGCTTTCTTTGACAGCCTGTTTCCTTTAGAGGTGGAGCAGGACTAATCAGCCAACTTTCGAGGGCTTTCACTTTTGCTGAAAATGAAGTTATAAAGTTGTTAAGGGAATTTCTGAAACTTAATTCATTGCCTGTGGGTTTAAAATGTTTTAAAAAAGTATTTTTCATGTATTGTAATGCTTCTGAGTCATGCTTTCACTCTCTTAAGGGTATCTTAGCTTATCTTATTGTCCTGGTTTTGGCTGGGATAGGGTTAATTTCCTTGCTAGTAGCTGGTATAGTGCTGTGTTTTGGATTTAGTGTGAGAATAATGTTGACAACACACTGATGTTTTAGTTGTTGCTAAGCAGTGCTTACACTAGTCAAGGACTTTTCAGCTTCCCATGCTCTGCCCGGTGCCCAAGAAGCTGGGAGGGGGCACAGCCACGACAGTTGACCCAGCCTGGCCAAAGGGCTACTCCATACCGTATGCCATCATGCCCAGTATATACACTGGGGGGAGTTGGCTGGGGGGGGCAGCGATTGCTGCTTGGGGACGGGCTGGGCATCGGTCAGTGAGCAACTGCATTGTGCATCGCTTGTTTTGTATATTCTTTCATCATTATTATTTTCTCTTCTTCTGCTGTTCTATTTAAACTGTCTTTATCTCAACCCACAGGCTTTACTTTTTTTTTTTCCAATTCTCTCCCCCATCCCACTGGGTGGGGAGGGTGAGTGAGCGGCTGTGTAGTGCTTAGTTGCCAAGTGGGGTTAAACCACAACATTTCTGACCCTCCGTTCCCAGGGCTATACTGCTCACATAGTTCCCCCCCCCCACTCCTTCCTTGGGAAGGTCTTACATACTCTTCTAGAAATTTGTAATTAGGTAGTGCTCTGTTTTTATGTTTGTCTCTTCACTGACAGAGAGGGCTTGATTCCCTCCTCAATTCTTACTTTCAATGTTGAGAATCAAGAATTTCATGTGCTTCTGAAGGTCAGGACAATTGGTGCTCAATTCTAATCTCACTGACATTGATCCGACCTATGTGTTTTGCTTGGTTTAACGGGTATGTAAGAACAGTAATGACAAAGCACATGGGATGTCAAAAGGAGGAAAATACATCTTTGTAAGACTGAACCATGAGTAGTATGTGCGTGTTTAGCTTCGTTCATGAATAGTCCTGATGCACTTCAGAGGACTTTGGGCTCATGACTGGGTTTTTTTGCTACAGGTCCCAAAGGGCACACTACTTTCAGGGCTGTCCCCTCAAATTACACAATCAAATTTGTGTGGTTTCCTGAACTTGCTTCAGAGCAGATACCAGCAGGCCTGGCCTGGGCTTCCTGGAACTGTGAAGTAACCCCTGCACCCTCACTGCTCAGCTGATCAAGCTGACAGCCAGCAGGCTCCCAGGAGCCCAAACCTGCTGACCTCCCAAGATCATGGGGACAAACCTTTTTGGATGCCACCAGTCTTAGAACAGCACTATCCCTGATGCCATCTGAACTCTGTCAGGGCCACGGGCTCATCCTGACACCTGGCTAGCACACGTTCACCTCAGGCCTCTCCCTCAGGCACAGGCAGGCTGTGAGGAAGAGCAGTGGGTAGGGGAAAAATGGGAGCGACAGGTGAGAAAGACACAGGGGCCAAAGGGTTGTACAGTGAAGGCTAACGGAAAGTGCACTCAAGGAAAGAAAAGCTCCGAGCGGTGCCGAAGCGCCGCTAGCGCCCGTGGGCGCGGCCGCCCTGAGGCGGCCCGCTGACCCGTTGGTCTGCGCGCCACGCTCAAGATGTCGGCCGACAGCTCCCCAAGCCCGCCACACTCTTCTCGCTTTCGATTGGCGAGGAGAGCTGGCAGTCTGTGCTGCCAGCCAATCAGCCCGCCCGCTGCGGCCCCAGAGGCGGCGCCGCGGCCTGGCCCTGGTGGAGGGTGTTGTCCGGCTGGCGCAAGAGGGGGGGGGCGGGATGAGGCGCCTCGGGCCCCG